AATGAGTTAACGGACTTGAATAACGAGGTAGCCATCTTTGATTCAAGGTTAAAGGCTGCTTTTGCTGTTTCAGAAAAAAATTGGACACCTCTTGCTAAGATTTTGCCTACAGATTCCTCTTGGTACATTGATTGTTGTGTTTTTGATTTCAGGATCATTTTTTTTTATGTCAGCGTAACGCAAAGCTGCAACAGTGTTTTTAATTGGCAGATAGGCTCGCATTATGGTTGGAAATAGGTGAATTTAATCGTTTGTCATCACTATTTATCAAGAAATACTTAAAATGTCCACCTAAATTTTCATATGCAGGTTCCTCCAGGTCCTTAGTTGCACAAGTTTCATTTTGTCGCTAATCATTGCCGCCAGACAGAAGACAGGATGGTTGCCAGTCAGCCATCTTTAATTTTGACAGTTAAAGTTTGTTACTACTATTTCTCAAGAAATACTTAGGTGAGTTCTTCATGATTTTAGTTTTGTATATTTTTCGTTTGGAGCTTCATGTCGATTGATCAGAAGAATCATATTACTGACAGAATACTGAAATTTTCTCTTTCGATTTCTTACACATCGCTATTAAAGCAAATAAGTCAAACGACTACCAACTTATTTCGAAGGTCACTGTCAAACCAATCTGTATGAAATTTAAAAGCAAAACAAAATTAGTTCGTATTTTGAATTGCTTATTGAACCTATTGTTCCACATCCTAAATACCATTAGCGTTTCGCGAGTCAGGTGAATGTATAAAGTGAAGGAAATCTTAAGTGGATGGCTGATATTTAGATTTAAACAAATATGTAGTTCACACGTTTTGTACATTCATCAGTTTTCTGATACAAATAAATGAAGTTTACCGTTATAAGCATGCGACATATGCAATGGTCAATCAAGCAAAAAGTAAATAAATTCATTATTTTGAAATATGTAACAACGGGGTTTTAAGCTCTTTCCTCGTGTTCCAACAGTAGTTTAGACCAATTTCGATTTCCACCTCTTTGACCCTTAGCATCACCGATGAGTCCAAGAAAGTCGAACCAGCTGTATGATACAATGTTATACATTTTTGGCATACTATAGTGTATATTACAAATATTGTAATGATGTATTCACCTGGGTGTGTGTTACGTTCATATTTATTTTTAAATATACACAAGGTACATTTACATTCACAAGACTATCAATTCAACAGATAAAAGAAGAAAGGTTACACGTGTTAACTGCATAGAATCAATGGAGATCTTACAAATGATGAATGCCAAAATCCAACTGGAACCCCTTGTAAAATTACAATGTATGCTTAGCACATATAATGTATTTGTTACACAAAGGATTATCATAGTTATTATTTATATCAATATTGGTCAGACTAGTGCTGATGATAAAGCTCTTGAATGCCATAACATCTCTTCTCCTTCTGGTTTTATATCCCTGCTGTCTCCCTAGACATTTTAAACATGTAGAACAATCATTTCGGCACTGTTAGATAGTCACTCAGGTCACCTGTCGCGATCAATTATCGTCCGTCATCGTCAGTAGAGCGTAAACAATCACATTTTCGACTTCTCCTCGGAAACCGTAAGTAAGATTTTGATGAAACTTTGTGGTAATCATAAGCCTGAAGTGGGGATATGAATCTTTACTGGAAAAAGGCTTGCGTCCGTGAGGGCTGAGGTCGTGGCCCGGTTTGGCTTTAAAGAATATATTCGTACTACAACTTAAAAAATCATTTTTACGTTTCAACATGCACCGTAATATGGAAAGACCTTTGGACATTTGCAGTAAAACTTGTTCTAACGGTGTATTGCCACACAAAAGACCTCATGTACTCATTGAAATTTTTCCTATAGGAAATTTGACAGTAATGGATCATGCAAATATGAGGCTCAGAATGTACGACTGTAAAAGTTATTGAAGTGGGTACAAGAAGAGAAAATAGTGTGCTGAATCAAATCAAATATGTAAGACATTTCCCGTTAAAACAAATAAAAACATTACCTTTCTGCCAATTTAAGATTCTTAGTATCAAAGTTTTATTCACAGTGGAATGTGACATTATCATACTCACATTTCCTGAAAAGAGCACTATTTTGGCATATAAATATTGTTCATGTATCACAATGTAAAATATTTCATAATATAATAAAACCTCAGGGGAGGCAAACACTTTTGATGTGCATAATAGATGTTTATCAGATACAAAAAATCGTTTTAAATTTCTAAAAACCGAATCTTGCACGTCACTGGTTAAAATTGCGAATGTTTTTAATTTGATTATCTCAAATGCTTTAACTCGACTCTAAAATTGATTCTTGACATTTGAAATCTTTCATCAAAACGTAGGTACGAACGTCAATATTCAATGCTTTTTTTGTCCAGTGTTGTTTTACTTGAGAGAAGTGGCGATGTATATTAAAGGCAGTCTTAGGTACAAAGAGACAGCACGACACACATGGCTTAGGTTAAATTATTATCGGTGTGAAGATAGGGGAGATCCCTGACTATGTGCTATCTTTTATCTATCTAGGTGAACAATACGGGGTGTTCTCGTTTCCCCCACATTTTGGAAAACAAAGAAAAGTATTTATATAACCGGCCAATAAAAACCTAATTATACATGAACCCCACAGTTCACACAGGTAAGTTCACTTACCTTGGTGATTTGTAGCTTTTCTGTGCATGTGATTCATCAACATTTAAGTATTTTTGGGGCAAATATATAAAATTCTTCGTTAAATTTTACGTATAACACAAATAAAACAACAAGTAAATCAACTGTCTATGTTTTTCATACAGGTGAAAATTGGACTGTTTCAACTGTCAATAAACATCATTTAATCAAATAGATCAATCATAAGCATTACTCAAAATAAGGAATTCATCAATTCATTTACCCATGATACAATCATTACTAAATATTTCTTACATATAGTCTGTCATTACATTACAATACAATGATATAACCATCACTGCATATAAGTATTTGTAGAAGATTATAAATACATATAATAGGGGTCATGGTATGATGATTAGAACGTTATCTGTTCGTGTGTCGAGCATCATGGAGTTTGTTTTTGTGCCATAATTAGCATCAATGGTTGTCCTGAATAATAACCTTTGGCCTATTATTGATATATTTCTGTTGTATCACAACTACATGTACCTGCGATCACAGCCACAGTGCTTGTGACTGTCCCTGTCAGGTGTTCAAGATAAAACAGATAACTGTGTGTCGATTAATGGTACACAAGTCTACGTTATGTCGTTTTGTTTGCTCTGACAATACATGAAGTTAGATTGTCACATTTGTAAATATACCAACAAACCTTTCATCATAGTTGATATCATTATTATAAATAATTATTTGGGGTTATACCATCATGAAATGAAAAAATGTTTTTATGAGTATCAGTTTATTAACCAAATCTTAATGAATTGGCTCGAGAAGAGCAGGGAGTCGGGTTTTTTTGTGTATTTTAAAAAAAAATGTTATTACTATGTTTCCTTGTACAAAAGCCACAAAACTGTTATCTTTTTTACTCAGATATACATCTGACTTTCAGAGATATTAGACCAGAATAAAAAAATATATATAAATATATAATTTTAAATATATCTTAAAGTCGGATGCATGTTAAAATAAAAGATAACTGCTCAGTTGTTGTGTGGATTTTGTGATAAAACTGTTAAAAGAAGAGGGAAAAAAGAGAAAAATACCCCCCCCCCCCCCCAAAAAAAAACCACACACACACACACACATACACACACACTCCACTGACCCTATTTCCTGAGATTTGGTTAATACAATTTTAGTAAGATAATTGTAGGGTTCTAACTGATATTGATTTAGGCACAGAAAAGGAAGAATTGCTAACATTATTAAGCCATTATAAAACAAGGTCTACTAAACATCTATGCGTTACTTTTTTCTGCAATTTTTATTAGTTGTAGCTTTAGTGGTACACAATACATCAAACTTATGCAGAAATTTTCAAAACAAAACATGCAGTTATTGTGATTATGGTCCCTCACTTTACCCCCTCATATCTCGGTATGGGTCAAGAAGCTGACCTTGATTTCATGGCTTATCATGATGGCATAACCCCAAGGTATGTACCCATTCTTTACTTAGAGTTTCAAAAATAGAATTTTAATTACATCAAAAATCACTTAAATCGGATAGATATTTTATGATTACTTGCATAACAGGTTCTTTAAATCACGGGGTTGTGTGTATTTATATTGCATAGTGATAATAGTATACATTATATATTAGTAATGGAATGTTCATTGAGGTAAGTTTTAACATCTAATTACTGGACTGTCATAGAATGTGCACTGTTTCACCTTCCATGTCTATTTTAACGCATCTTATTTCAGATGATGGGGTTTTCAAATGTTGCTAACTAAGTCGATAGGTCTTACAACAACTTCTTCTAAAGGACACTGTTAAACCCATCTGTACGAAGTTAGATAACAAAACAACACTCGTTTCGTAGTTTCGTATATTCTATATATGCATAGACAATACCAGTAGCCTTGCTCGGGTCAGATAATTGTCCAGAGTGAGAAAGATGAAAAAAAGGTTAAATTTAAGCAACTGTTTGATTTGTTACGATTTATGCATTCGTCAGTGTTCTTACTTTATTTTTATATCTGATGCAAATAAATTAAGTGTACCGAAATAAGCATGAAGCATCAAGCATATGTACTGTTCCAATCAAACAAAAATATACGCAACGTCATTATTTTGAAATTCGTAACTAACGGGGGTTAGGCACTTTCCCTTCAGTTTCAACAGTAATATTTACCATTATGGGTTTCCTCCTTTTTGGTCCCTGGCATCACTGATGAGTCATAGAAGGACAAAAAAGTTGTTTGATGAAGTGTTATTTAGTTTTTGCATACTGTTTCTATTACCAATATTTCAAAGACGCTTCACCTGTGTGTGTTTACCGGTGTGTTCTGTGTTGGTGTATGTCGAAAAGATGACATAAACGATTCATTAAACTGGAGAACCATATTTGTCATCCTCCCCTTCATCACCTTTCCGTACATTTCTCAATAAATTGTTCCAGGCGTTTTTCTGAGAATCGTCATAGAAAGAACATTTTACAATGTTGGGATACTTTCTAAAACTGATGATGATGTGTTTCCGATCCAAGGGTATATTTGGGAGTGACCTGTTCTCAGGGAGGAACAGGATGCAAACAGATCCTTGGTCACCTGAAATGAAACATAGATATGTTAAAGAAATGTTCTTCGGAATCAATTGGATCGATAGTGTACTTGGTAAAATCAAGTTTTAACAAATTATTAAAGAATTGGTAGTTATGGAAAATAACTTAAGAAAAAACTAACGAAAAATCTAATCTTTAAGAACATCATTCCCCATTAATAGGGATCAACATCCAAATATGTTTTTCGAAGTGTTATAATGTATTTACTAGATAAACAACATAGTTAACTCATATGTCTATATAATCCGGTACACTACCTTTTAACCAATGTTTTTGATGCAAGTCAATACCTGGCTGATTGAATTGCAATTTTTTCCTAAAATAACTTTACGTGCTGTGCCGAAAATACACATGTTGTTTTAATGTGTATAAGAGCATGAAATGGCACCCATTATACCATCAGAATGAAGACACTAGAAGTGACGTCGTTTTAATTAGGTGTTTTTTTAATCTACTTTCAATATATATCATATAACTTAATCCCTACATGCTAAGAGTGAATGGAAGCGCATTACTCCATAGCCATTATGTATTTTATGTATGAGTTTTCAAATCAGCCATTAAAACCCTGCGTTATTTTCTGTGTCTGGTAATCCAAATTTTGTTCATTCAGCAGCATGCATTTAATTATCTAATATCTTAATGCATTTTATTATTTGTCGACTCGTACTTACATTTCATCATTTCTTCAAATTCAGTTTTATTTCTCTCTTGGGTCAAATATGCGACAATTCGTATCTTATTCGTCGAGTCGTCTTCTTTGGACCATTCAGGTGTTAGGATCTCCACAACATAGTCAGGTAGTGTTTGGAGTAACCGCTCTGTGCCGCCAATGAGGTTTTGTGTAAAATCTCCATCTTGAGGCGATACAAAAAACGTCAAATCAACTGCAACTGCAAAGTAGAAACACAGAGATGACCATTCTAAGTTATTTTTTTCATGAACATTCATGAGTTCTTTTTAAACAAGAATATACATTTAAGTAGATAATCAGTGTAGGGTAGTTAAGGTCATGGTCAAATAATGGACGTTGACATCATGGCCATTATTTCAGTACATCACACAGAAACCACCTGACTCTGTCATCAAGTGTGATATCCATTCATGAAATGGTAGACAAGATATCTTCCAGAGACCTAAACCCTCGGTGGATTTTAAACTTGGTTCCATATTGTGGTTGACTTGACCAATGTATAACCCGAAATATTCTTTCATTACAAAACACCAAGTCGGAAGTCCACACTGAATTTAAAGTTATAAATGATATGAATCGGAAACCTTTATTACATTGTGTTTAAGTACTGGAGGTGGAGGTCGAGACCAAATGTCAAACAAAAGTCACTGTGACTTATTATTTCTATTTGACACTTACCCATGATGTACCTGTATTTGTAAAATTTGAAACATGCTCATGAAATCTGTATAACAATGTGTATTAGTGCTTGAGGACAAGGTCAAATGTAAAACTGAGATCACTGTTACAAAATTTGCCTCATTCTAGGGTGTCGCACACTGCCTTTCTCCGATGTACCTTAATACAAAGTATGACGCCCTTTCATGAAACAGCCACCGATATACAATGTATGCTCCAGAAACCATTATCAAAGTGTTTATAGTCAAAGTCAAATGATGTCAAATAGAGGTACACAGTGGCGGATCTAAATACCTATCTGTGGGGGTTTCCAAATTTCCAGGGGGGGGGGGGGTTGTTCCGTGTGGGTAAAATTGAGGAAAATGGTGAAAATACATGATTTTTAAAGAAAGTTCTCAGGTTGGGGGGTTTCTTGAAGCCACCCAAAAAAGCTCTAGATCCACCACTGGTACATTGTTAGTATGACATTGTTGAAGAAACAAACGCAATGCTTTCTCCTGATGAATTTATATACAAAGATTGATGACCATTCATGAACGAGTTCCTTTGTTTATAAACAATTGCGTCTGCAATACTTTAGTTTATAGTCATTCATTCTACTTGGAGATGACATTCAAAGCCTTTCAGGCCACTCAACCTGTCGTATCTGCCGAACCAGCATTCTACATAAACAAATAACCGAAATATCAGGAGCTGTAAAGGTGACAACAGGACGCCAGGGTCTACGCTGGATACTCTAAGACAGCATACCGATTCTGACAGTATCCCCGCTGAGCTCCTTCTTAAATCGACATTGTGTTTCCAGCCTTGAGGAAGAAAATTATACAAGGTAAGTATGTTAATCTTGTCCTTCTCGTCGTTCCGGGTAGCGAGCCTCCTTTCACCAATCGTGACTCGCATACACCAGGCCGTCGATGTAAACATTCCGAACAAACCATATCGGAATTCATAACAGCTTTTGGAATCTACAAGCGTGTAGTGACTGATGCCTTTCCTAGTAGGAGGGATGAACTTGATAGGTACGAGGCCATTATTATTCGCCTAAATAACACCCATGGGGCATTCAACGAGTACCACCGCATGTGTTTTGGCCCTGGCAGCTCAATACATTGAACAGTTAAATGGGGAATGCGCGACAAGGACATCTACGATTCGGTCGTAGAAGCTCGCCGTCCTATCACCTGCAATATCTGCCGTAGCGGGGAACATTTTCCACTCACAGATGTGATCAGTTCAATGGAAACAAACACTCAAATTGATCAGATAGAGATCAATCCAAAACAGACAGACGTAATCGCCCAAACGTTTGGCACAACGGGCAGTTGATATGTAACAATTTCAAAGGTTATGCTTGCCAACGAACTCACATCTGTTCAAATTATTTCAGTGAGCAGCATGGAGAGAAAATTATGGACAAACGTTACAATCCAGAGGGCATTGTAAATAAAAATAAGTGACTTTACCCAAGAGATATCTTGTGCTGGGAATGTTTTCCCTGCGGTTTCAGAGCGTCAACCCCTATATATATATTGATAGACTCAAAACGGAACAAACTTTTCACCCTGATAAAGTTTTTGTAAATTATTTATGTGACGGCTTGAAAAAGGATTTTGACAGTAATGTAATGGACAAAGGTTTCATCATCGGCCCTTACCAAGTGTCGTCTTTCAATATTTATCGTGTTAGCCCCCTGGGAACAAAAGACTTATTTTGGACTTATCAGCTCCGCACAATTCTACTGTTACAGATACTCAGAGTATTAACGAGTTAATAGACAAGTCTGAATGCTCTCTCCAGTAAGTCAAAATTGACTATACCATTCGTACCATTCAAGATTTAGGTAAATGAGCTATTATGTGTAAAGCTGACCTTTCGGATGATTTCAAGGATACCCCTATCCTCCCATCACAGTGACATTATTATACTACTTTTTCCATCGTTTAGCTTTCGGCTGCCGCTCCAGCCCCATCATTTTCGATCAATTGTCCATTGCAGTGTGTTGGATCGCCAAACATGGTATGACACACAGTTTTCATTTACTTGATGACTTTCTAGTCATTGACCCCTCGCAAGCCCAAGGGGAGAGAACCATCTATTATCTCCTTGCACTAATGTCCGCCATACAGGAGTCATGGAAGATTGACTCGTGAGTGTAAAGAAGACATTCGTATGTGGCGCTCGAGCTGCTCAAATAGACTTTGAACTGTTCACGGATGCAGCATCGACTGTCGGTTTTGGGGGTATATTTCGTACGGAATGGTTTGCGTCCCTTTGGCCAAGGGAAGTCGTTGAGGCTTCTGGGGACTAATCTATGTCCTTCCTTGAACTTTACCCGATAGTGGTTGCTGCTCTACTTTGGGAATAAGCCTGGTCCACCAAACGTATCTTATTTCATTGTGACAATAAAGGTACCGTCGATATCATAAACAAAGGGAGGTCTAAATCGCGGCGTATCATGTCCCTTATGCAACGACTTACTTGGTGTGCAGCTATTTAAGTTTTACTGTGAATGCTAGTCATATGGTAGATGTGAACAATAATATAACTGACGCTCTTTCTCGTTTTAATTCCAGGAGTTCCGGAGAGCAGTACCCCATACCAACAGTCGCCCATGTCCCTCCTCAGAGTTCTGTCAAGTAATGTAGAATTAAATTAAACAGTGAACGACCTTTGGGATTCAGCTCTTACTCCAGTGTCTGATGATCTATTGATGTTCTTTGTCGCACACTGCTATAAAACCCTTAATATTAAAGCATCTACTATCAACCTGTATTTGTGCGGTATTCGTTACTCGTATATGCCTGTAGGTCATGCTAATCCTCTGGCTGCACTGGACGGTCAAGCCTTCATCAGACTCAACACTATCATAAATAGAGTGAAGAAACAGTAAGGTGTTACACATAAACCACGCTTATCTATTACTTTAAACATTTTGGAGAAGACCTGAATGCTACTACGATCTGGGGTGTTGTCCTCTATACCCCGATACAGTGGCCATTCGTTCCGCATTGGTGCTGCTACTTCTGCAGCAAATTCGCAGTATATTCTAATAACAAATGTTGTTGAAAAAATGTTGCAAAAGAAGTCTTACCTTTTAGTTTGTTCTTCGTTTCTGAAATAAAAATTTGAAAAAAATGAGTTAAATAAAAGTGTGATTACATTTTTTCAAGAAAAGAAGAGGAACACATCTTTTTCTCAACCGATAAAATTTATTTGATTCCCCAAAAACAACATACATTAAGCTGTCTTTTATCTCAAAATGTACAACATATGTTCTTTCAAGCTGTGAGAAATATCTATTTAAATACCTATCGTAGTGTAACGATATCATAAATGCTAAGTTTGTTCAAACACTAACAACGGTTGAAAACCTATTTTGCCAGCTTTCGAAAACGTCTGTTTCAAACAAATTTAGCATGTATTGCTCACGCCGAACTGTTTGATCTTATTATGAATGTAAAGATATCAGTTTTATCGTGTTAAAAGAATCTAGCACTTCACTGACTAACAGGAAATACGTTAATCTATTTTGGGTCTTGCATTCTCCTCCAATTTGATCTAGCGATCATAATTGTATTCTTTTGAGACAAAAGTCGAGCTTTTATAATTAAAGTTCACTTGGTTATGGCTATCTGTCTAATGTATAACTATCTACATGTTTGAAGATAAAATGTTCGGAAATATATTTTATTGAGAAAAATGTTGTAAAATGGGTGTAATTATATCTTCTGTGTTATCTTTTTATTTTTATCAAATGAAACTGGACTGGTTTCAAGGAGTTATTACTGAAAACAAATTATGCGCAGAAAATGCAATTTGTTCACCAAGGTTGACCTTCCTAATCATAAATAAAAGTGATGAATAGAAGCGATACATATGAATAGAAGCGATACATATCCGCCCAAGGGGAGAGACCTATGCCCCCCAACCACCCTGATTATGTTGTTTAAACGTTTGATGATTCCCTTATCTCCTCATAAAACTATGAGACCCGCCACAGTCATGGAATAATTGGGTATAATCCTGGATTCTGATAGGAAGGAAGCACGCTTACCTACAGACAAAGTGCATGGAATAACAGAGTTCTTGCGTGGCATGCTTGCTAAAAATTCGTGTACTAAACGCGAGTTGCAACAGCTCCTCGGTCATCTTAATTGCGCAATGCGAGTTATCTTGCCAGGCCGTAGTTTCATCTCTTATCTCCTTGCACTGATGTCCACCATACAGGAGTCACACCATCATGGAAGATTGACTCGAGAGTGTAAAGAAGACATTCGTATGTCGCTCGAGCTGCTCCAATATTGGAATGGTATTTCTTTCTTCTATGTACGCCATTCTACCAGCAATCCAGACTTTGAACTGTTCACGGATGCAGCATCGGCTGTCGGCTTTGGGGGTATATTTCGTACGGAATGGTTTGCGTCCCTTTGGCCTAGGGAAGTCGTTGAGGCTTCTGGGGACTAATCTATGTCCTTTCTTGAACTTTACCCGATAGTGGTTGCTGCTCTACTTT